TCAAAGTCTCTCTGTGACAGCACGTTGCACTCTGCTCCTGTATCAAGCTTTACAGTTAGCACACTGTTGTTTATTTTGAGCTGTTGTGTCCATTTCTCACTGTCATTGTTCATTGTTGAGACTGCATTCAGCTGTAGCTCTGCACCTGTTTGCTCACTTGGTATTATGTCAATACATCCCATAAACATGACATCATCTTCTTCTTGTTGTTCTATTTCATGCACTTTTTTCTCAGTTTTCCTGTATTTAAACTGTTGTTTTTGTGACTTGCACATGCGGCTGAAGTGGTTCTTTAATTTGCACTGGTTGCATATTTTTCCATATGCTGGACATTTCTTTGGCTCGTGCATGTAGCCACACCTCTTGCATTCGCCTTTCTCTTTGTCTGTGTCAGACTGCTTGTTACTCACTTTTTTCACTTTGGTGACTTTTATTTTATTCACAGCAACATCTGCTTCCTCGTGCAGTGCTTTCATGTGACTTTGTGTTATCTCGCTTGCTCGGCAGATTCCCACAGCCCTTGTTAGGTCTAAATCCGTCTCCCTGAGCAACCTTGCTCTCACAGCATCGTTATTTATTCCACAGACAACACGATCCTTGATTAGTTCATCTGTTAGCTGTGCAAACTCACAATCCTTTGCTTTGTTCTTGAGGTCCGTCACATAAGCATCAATAGTTTCATTCGGTCCTTGGACTCGGGTAAACAACACGTGTCTCAAGTATGTGATGTTCTTCTGTGGCTCACAGTAGTCTCTGAACTTGTCTATCAGTCCAATAAAACCATCCACGTCTTCATCAAAGTTCATGGTATTAAATACCTTTAGTGCTTCGTCTCCAGCAACATGAAGGAATGTCGCACATTTCACCTTCTCACTCTTCTCCTCAATGCCAGTCGCGATGAGATAGAGTTCAAACTTTTGAATCCAAGTTCGCCAGTTTTCTGCCAGATTACCATCGAAGCTCAAACTACTCGGAGGTTTTAACTGTTCCATCTTAATTTTTTATCTTCTGACACCATGTCATATTATGGTACTTAAAACATGAACGAGAGACACGTTTCGAACAAACTTACTCTTTACTCTGCTCGTCTTCTTATTCATACACAGCAGGTTCAAAACACCAACACTGGTGCCGCGACTCCCCCTACTGGTCGGAGTCATACATGCAACATACGTCACAGTCTAGATGTAAAAACGAAACTGTGAAGTCTTCTTATTTTACTTTTGCAAAAATAGAATAAATGTCTTATAAATGAGGGCTCCAGACTAACTGGTCCAACTTTCTTCGTTGATCGCACCAGCTAATGATTTGGTTAAGACAGCATTGCTGCTCGTTGCTTTGCTAGTTAGCCCCGTTAGCATGTCCACCGGAAGTCTGACTAGTCTTTGTTAGCTCCTGCACCGTATCCGGCCCTAAAATAAAGGCAGCGTAGAGCTCCGGTCAGGATCACATATGATTCCTCGTCATGACTTCTTTCATTAACATCTTTCCAGCTGTACATACCTATGGTGTGTAAGGGGATCTGTGGTTTCCAGATGATATCCAGCAGTCTGCGCTGACGATCGATCTCCTCCTTGTACTGGACGATGGTTTTTTCAAACTCTGTGAATATTTCTTCAGCAGCAGCAGTCAGTCTGTCGCTGATCAACTCTCTCAGATGCTGAACTTCACACATTCTGACTTTTAACGTTCAAATATTTCTCCGTGATAACACAACACAGTCCGTCTGACAGTGACGCTGACAGCGCCTCTTCACTGTTTACTTACGCCGAGTGTCACACCACGAAGGTCCGGCAGAAACAGTGACTGAACTTTTGTTTCTCCTCTGTGGTGCTTTGATGAACTAAACATTTCCATTGCATCATAAATCATTTCAACAATATGCTGCTCATATTGTCTTTGAATTGATTTGGTTTCTGTGGTTCCAAGTTTTAATAATGAAAATATTCAGGGAAATGTATGTTATTATTATTGTAGACCTCTAACTGTAATATTTAAACTTGGGTGAGTCATTTTTCTACTAGAAAGCACTTTGACTGAGCAGCTGTG